AAGACACTTCGTCTCCCACAGCAGCTTGACAGCTCAGGCAGGAGGGTGTGGGGACCTCGGCTGGGCAGCCCCGCGCCTCAGGCCGCCTCACAACGTGCGGCCACCTAGGGAGGAGCCGCCACACTCCCTCCTGGGCAGCGACGCCCCGTCCTGTCTGCGCACCCAGACCGCCCCCCACACCTGGGCTGGCTAAGGAACATGACGAGTGGCCACCAGGCGGCCCTGGGGTCGCTGGGCCCAGTCTCCACCCCAAAGGGCCCGCTGGCAGGAGGGGAGGCCCTCGGGAAAGAGGAAGGTTCTCGCTTCAGTTCTCACAGATCTGAAGGAAATAATTCAGCCTCTGTATTTTGACTCAAAACAAAGAAACTTTTTAAAAACATTTCAGTTGAAACTTGCATAATTCCCCCAGTGGAGAAACCCTCCCTAACTTTCGCAATCCTTAGAAAGAGACACATTATTGCTGCTTGTGTAACAGTCTCCAGGCCACGGAGAGTCCACCACCGGCCGCCGACACCTCCCGCCAGACAGCCGGGGCCCAGGAAGCACAGCCTCCCCAGCCACCCAGCGGACGGGTGTGGAGCGGCCAGGCCACACTCCCCAACTTCCTCCACCCATCCTGTCTGCCCTGCAGGACATCTCAGACAGACATTACACACACCGCGGCCGGCGGGTTGAGAAACCAAGAAGCACCCAGCAGCCGAGTGTCAGTGCCCCTGCTCGCAAAGCCCCAGCTGCCCGAGGGACCCTGGGAACACCAAGGAAGCCCCAGCGTGTGAGGGGCCGAGGCCAGCTCAGAGAGGGGTCCTGAAAACTGCAGGAGGGCCGACAGATGGGCAGACGGACCACACCAGCAGAAGCGCAGACAGCGGGCGCCCAGCCGCCTCCATGCAGCTGACTACGCAGAGCAGGACAGAGCCAGGGACCTCGCCTGAGCTGCCAGCTCTCCCGTTTGAGAAGCACACCACCTCCACCAACCTTGGCTCGGGGGCCTGCACCCTGCTGACCAGACCAACTCACAGACCCCACCCTGCACGGGGCCGGGGCCTGTCCGGGAGCCTCACCTCAGAGCATTCCCCAAGATGGCACCCCACTTCTCACCCAAGCTTCTGGAGCCAAGAAATTACCACAGAACCCTACAAAAAACTATAGCAGAGCAAGGGGGCATAAAGACAACTGAGCCCCTACATCTCTGTACACACCTGACGTGCCAAGGTGAAGGCAGCTGCTCATTAAAGGGGGGGGGGTCCCCAGAAGACACATGCCGGCCAGTCACTCCAGCTGGACGGGGGGGTGCCCAGTGCTGTTCCTTCCATGGCAATTTCAGCTTTAAAAAGCACAGCACGCCTCACTCAGAGAGGACCCCGAGGCCAGGAACCCCCTCCTGGCCTCTGCATCTAAAAGCCATGGTCAATGCCCAGCGGGGACCACAAGACTCAATGATCCCCAACACCAGTGGCCTGGTGGGCTTTGAGGAGACGCTGGGAGGGGTCAGGTGACACTGGGCAAACTGCCTCAGCATCAGGAGCTTGGACAAGCCCAGTGGCAGCAGCTTGTGCTGAGCACAGAGGGGCCATCGGCCAGCGGGCCCCCGATGCACGTCGACCCACGTGGCAAGGGCAGCTCAAGAGAAGCAGGCCAGGAACGCACGGGCTGGAGGACAGAGGCGCACACCCAGGCGACCGGGCTCTTTAGTCTGAGAATCAGCACACCCAGAACGACGGCCCGTCGGGGTCCCAGGATCCTATCTCCGGAACACAGAGGGGTGACCCTGCCAGGCCCTGGGGAGGCACAGCACCACCCTAGCATCCCCTGGAAGGGCAGCACCTGGTCATCCAGCAAGCGGGCCTCCTGAGGGCAGAGGGTCCCAGCCCAAGCAGCAGCCACGCTGGCAGGCCAACATCCCTCTGAGACTGGCAGCAACCTGCACTGCTCAACAGTCAGTCCAGTTTGGTCCAAATACCATCAGACAAGCCCCAGAGGACAGCCTGGGGCCAAGCAGGCAGGAGAAGGGGGGATGGCAGGCGTGGAACAGGCCTCACGGTTCCTGTCTGGATGCCACATGTCCTCAGCAGCAGGACATCACCTAAACATACCCAGGAAAGGAAACTTCACCACCCACCACCTTCCCCCAGGCCCATTCAGACACAGGGAATTGGAGGAGTCAGGCAGCTGGCTCGCGGCCGCACACGGTATGGCACAGCAAGGACACGGTGGGGCACCAGACAGTAGGGCGTGCGAGGGGCTCCCCAGTACCCCAATAGTCCCAAGAAGGCCACCAGCACTTGCTCCAGGCCCCCACAGAAGGAAGGTCCCAGCCAGCACACGTGGACATGGCACCTTCACGGGAGGCCAGGCTGCAAGCTGAGGCCCCACCCCACACTTGGTTCCACGTTGGGGCAACCTCAGGATTCATGAGCCCCCCCGTGGCCATGTCACAGGCAAAGCAGGGGAAGCAAAGGCGATCAGGCACCAGAGACACCAGCAAGGAATGCCAAGTCTCCACCAGGCGGGAGGCTGGGCGACTCCCCGGCCACCAGCCCAGACGCACCTCCTCGTCTCAGGAACCAGGGCCCCAGGGGAGCCAGGTCCCCTACAAAGAGCAACTCCAGCATGTTCTTTGTTCCCTCTGTCCTCATCCTCAGTACATCAAAACCATTAAAATGAGCTCTGAGAGAAGGGAAGGGATCAAAACACACCCCGTGAAGAAGCCGTCAAGAGGCAGTGGGAGGAGCAGAGGCGGGCGGGCTGTGCGGGTGCTCCAGGCAGCTCCGCCCAGCACCAGCGGGGTGTGAGCAGCCATGCCCCTGCCCCCCAGGCCGAGGCCCTCCTCCTCACTCAGCACCCTCAGCAAGCAGACCAGCCAAGCACCTGGCTGTGCTGGGGAGACTTAGAGAGGCCCACCCCCCCCGAGGACTGCCAGCTGCATGGCCGCAGAGCCAAGGCCGAGCAGGCCAGGCCGGCAGAAGAGCGCCCCACAGGGTGGGGCGTGGCAGGAGAACACACGGAGCGCGTGTGTGACGGGCAGTGGATGGCGTCAAGGCCCGGGTGGAGGCCCACCGGACCACCACTGCGAGGACAGGGCTGGGCTGGCACTGAGGCCTCGAGACCCCGACCACTCACAGCGGGCACATCCTCATTGCCACATGGGCCATTTTCTTTTCATCAGTGAGATTTCTGGGCAGTGGAGGGACAGCACCGGGCGAGGAAGGGCAGCAGGACCATCTGCTGAAGTGACCAGGATGAAACCTGCTCTGGCCTCTGTGACCGGCCTGCCTTCTCCCCAGGCAGCACCTGGGCCTTCCCTGAGCCCAAGGACACCTGTACCCGACTTTAGGGCCTCGGCCTGGGTCTGCAGCCATGACGAGCCAACCCCAAGACAGGAAGGCCACGAACACGCACACATGACCCGGATATGGAGAGACATGGCCTGCCATGGACCCTGTGCTGTCCACTACAGAGGCAGGCAACCTGCTGGGCCTTTCCGCCAGCTCCCGTCTTCTGCAGCCCACCGCCATCCTGCGCACTCCTTGGGCTATGCCACCTGTGGCAGGTGCAGGCACCCCACACAGAGGTCCCAGCTCACAGGCAGCACCCATCATGCCACCTATAGCCATGTCCCTGCGTGAAATCAAGGACTGGTGGGCCTTCCCGCCAGCATCCTCACCCACCCCGTGCTGCCCGCTCAGGCATCCCGCCCACCCAACCCAAATCTAGTCAGCAGACGGTCGCCATCTGGGCACTGGCCTAAGCCAAGGGCAGAAATGCCACCAAACACAGACACACACACACGCAGGGGCCCCCTCCGAGCACAGGCAACAGGCCCTCGCCATCCGAGCCCCTCCTCCGCTCCCCAAGACTCTGACACTCCGCTGGAGGGGTGCCCAGAGAAAACCAGGCAGGAGCATCTATTCACAGATTTAGAAAAAAAAAGTTTGATGCAATAGCTGAATTAATTAGGCCTCCCAAGAATAGCTAAGCCAATGCAGATTCTGTGTGTGCAATTTAATAAGCCTGGATATTTAAAAGAAAAGTTACAAATACTTGGGGAGGGGGAGATGCCCGGAAGTTGGTGAGGACCCCTGAATGGCCTAGGCACCTAGTGGCCCAGGAGCCGCCCAACCAGATCACACAGATCCTCCGCCTGGCAGACAGCAGAGCCTCGGCAGGCGGCCCTCCCCACCGCACCCTGAAGCATTTCGGAGGGAGAGAAGGAAGCAGGGGGCAAGAGCGTCCAAACAACAAATCCCAGGCGGCTGGTCACCCAGACGTGCGGGGGGGCCCCAGGTGGCTGCAGCCAGGCCCCGAGCCCGGGTCCAAGTGGCCTCACTCCCACGCAGGGGACTCTGGGGCTCGTGCCCTGGCAGGCCGGGAGACACAGAGCTGGAGTCGCCGAGTCTCGGCCCCCCGTCTCCAAGGCCTAGACACCCGGCTTTGCTATTGAGTCGGCCTCTCAAAACTTCAGGATGCAAACAGACCCCCCCCTGGCGAAGCTGTCTGTTGGAGACCAGGGAGAGGCCCCCCTCTGTCCTCAGGCCTGGGAGCTCTGGGCGTGAGCACGGCCTTCACCCCCACACAGAGGGCACACCTCATCAGGACCCAGAGGAGGACCTGGGCCAGGCCAGGAACCAACTTCCCGCGACTTAGGGCAGCATGTCTGAGGCCTGCAGCCTGTCCTTCCCCACTGAGCTGGGCAATGGCCGAGGGTCCCAGGAAGGCCTCACCCACCAGGCCCCACCCCACCCTGGGGGCCCCATGCCGGGCAGGCACTCATCTTGGGGTTGGGCGAAAGGCCTTTCTCCCCAGCTATTTGGCATTCGATGGGGACACTGACACTACCATGAATTTCCTTAAAACAAAGCAAAACCCTGAGGCGTCGAGGAGGCAAAGCGCAGGGCCCAGCCTGCCCAGACAAAGCCCCTGGCGCAGGACGGCTCCCCTTCCCCAGACACCCCCGTCCCCCAAGCCTCCAGGCCCCGGGATCCCGGCCAGGTGACACTCACCCGGGGCAGCCGCCGCTTGTACTTGTTACCGTAGTCGAACTTCTCCTTCACGTCGTCCAGGCAGCGGCCGAGACGCGCCTGCTCCTCCTTGCCCGTGTAGTCCTGGCTCAACAGGATGTAGGCCCGCCAGTTGGCTGAGTCGAAGCCCCAGTGGCAGGTCCGGTTCTCGAGCGCCTTGTGCGAATGCACCACGAACTTGTGGGGCGGGTACATGAGGCGACAGTCGAGGCACTGGATGCAGGCGGCACTCGGGCTGCTGTAGAGCTCGGGCACCAGCAGCCCCTTGCACTTGCCGAAGCACTCGTGGTACACGCGCACGCTGCGCTCGCTGAGCTCCAGGCCCAGTGCCAGGCTGGCGGCCAGCTCCTTCTTGCAGGGTGGCGGGTAGGCGCCTCCGTAGAGCAGCGCGTTGCACAGGCGCTCGGCGTCAGTCTTGGTGATGAGCCCGCACGAGGGCGCGGAGAAGGGCAGGATGCCCATGACTTTGAGGATCTCCAGCTGGTCGGCCGTGCAGCGGGAGCAGTAGATGTGCAGTTCGTCGCACACCGAGTTGATCTGCTGCAGCGAGAAGTCGCGCAGCACCGAGTTGAGGATCTGCGGGAGGCAAAGGCGCTTCTCGCCGCCCACCACGAAGCACGAGATGGTTTCGCCCTCCAGCACGGTCTCGCAGCGCTCGGTGGAGCGGTCGGACGGCATGAAGAAGGGCCCAGGCAGCACAGGCGGCGGCGGCTGGATGGCGGGCAGGTGCAGCACCGGCGGGGGCTCGGCGGCCGCGGGCACCGGTGCCGGCACCGCGGCCGCGCCCGCCTCCTTGGCGCTCTCCTTCTTGTAGGCCTCCTGCGCCCAGCGCGCCGAGAAGGCGGCCGGGCCGCCCAGCGAGCTCATGGAGCTCAGGTGGAACTGCTCCAGCGTCTTCTGCAGCCCCGGGTGCGGCTGAAAGCCGCCGCGGCCGCTGGCAGCCGCCTCCATGGTGCGCTCCGACTCCCCGGGCCGCTCCCGCTCCCGCGCGCCCGGGCCCCCGCCGCGGCCCCCGCCGCCGCTCCGCGCGCCCCGGCGGCGCCCGCGGCCCCGGCCCCGGCCGCCCCCCGCCGGCGGCTCCCGGCCGATCACGGCCGCGGCCTCGGCCTCGCCCGGGGGCGCGAAGGGGAAGGCGGGCGGGGCGAAAGGGTCCCGCCGCTGGAGCCCTCCGGAGCCCGGGCCCGGCGCCACATCCACGCGCCCCGTGCCGCGCCCGCCGCCGCCCGGGCCCCCCGCGCGGCCCCCGCGCGCCCCCCGGGCCCTAGGCGCCGGGCATGCCCCGGCGCGCGCCGCCAACGCCAACGCCAACGCTCGCGGGCCCGGGGCTCGCGGGGGGCGCGCGGGCAGGTGCCGGCGCCGCGAGGCGCGAATCGCCGCGGCGGCCGAGGCCGAGGGGCCCGGGAGGAGCGGGGGCGCGGGCGCGGGGCCCGCCGGGCCGTCCTCGCGCGGCGCGCCGCCGCCGCCCCGCTCCTCCCACCGCGCGGCGCCCGCCCGGCTCGTCCCGGCGGCGCTGGCCGGCCGCGTCGCGCCCGCAGCCGGCCGGCCCGGCCCGGCCCGCGCTCACCCCGCCGCCCGCGCCCTGGTCCCCGCCCGCCCGCTCGTGCGCGGCTTCCGCGGCGGCGGCCCTCAGAGCACGGCGGCGGCGGCGGCGGCGCGGGGCTCGGCGCACATCCTCCCGGCGGCTCGCTCCGGCTCGGACTGAGCGCCGGGCGCTGAGCTCACGCCGCCGCCCCGCCCCGCGCCGCGCCGCCCCGCCCCGCGCCGTCTGGGCCGCGCGTCCGCCGGAGCCGAGCGCCGGCCAGGAATGCGACCGCCTCCCGCCGGCTCTTCCAGGAACGCGCGCTTCCCCCGCCCGACCGCCGCGCTCGGCCCCGGCCGCCGGGACTCGGGCCCGTCCGCCAGGGACTCGGCTCCACTCGGCCCCGCTCGGCCCCGTCGGCCCCGCCCACCCGAGATTCGGCCCCGCTCGGCTCCGCTCGGCACCGCCCGCCCGAGACTCGGCCGCGCTCGGCTTCGCTCGGCCCCGCCCGCCGGAAGGCCGCGCGGCAGGGGCGGGGGCGGCGGCGCCCGGGGGGCCCCTTCCGGCCGAGGCCGCTTCCTGCGCGGCTGGGAAGGCGCCTGTCCCGCCGCCGCCGGGGCCTAGAAACCCACACGCGGCCCCCACCACAACCGCAAATCCAGTGAGGGGCGGGCAGGACGGGGCCGCGCAGCCTCCTCCTCTCCCCTGGCGGGCCCCCAGGACAGGGACGCCATGCAACACACGCCGGGACACAGTGACAGGCAGCCCCTAAGCAACATGGGTTTCTATACATGTTAGGATTATGAGGCCCCAGAGGCTCACACGGGGCATAGACCGCAGGCAGCGTGTCCCGGGCCCCACGTGTGCACGCTCGCCGTAGCACTCCAGCGGAGGGATGATTGGCAAGCAGCACAGCCACCCCATGACATTGCACCCTGTTCCCGCCCAGGGCCGGCAAGGCTGGGAGCCAGCAGCTTCATCTTCCAGCACCCCAGCTTCGGGATGCCTGCTCCACAGTGCCTGAGATGGGCGGCCCTGCAGGTGGGAGCTATGCCTTATGACTACTGGCCGTGTTGCTGCCAGCGCCAAGCCCAGGGTGAGTCCTCAGGAACTGGCCACTTCATGCCTCAGGCTGGCCAGCATCACTCTTATCCGGCAGCTTGCTGGGCCAGAGAGCCACTTACACGTCTGCAGGGCCCCTGGGAAGTGGTCCCAGTGAGACCCCTCCGTCCATCCTTCCAATGCACTGGCTGTGTCATTGGGGGAAAGTCACCAGAAAGTGCTGGGTGGTAGTAGATGGGGGCCTAAAGTTGGAGTGGTTGGCTGAGTGGCCCCCAGAGAAGGCAGTGTCCCGCAGAAGCCTGGGGGTGGGAACTTGAAATCAGGGGTCAGTTCTGGCTGTTCTCAACCCAAGGGCAGGAGGACAGCCCAGCTGATCTGGGCAGTGGCATGTTTTCCTACGCAGGACAGCGGCATCCAAGCCTGCCTGGGCTCTGCGGGACACGGGCCAGGTAGAGGTGAAAGGGCCACACTCACTTCAGCCGTGGTGACCTTCATCTTGTCACTTACTGTTCCTACCCCCCCAGTGGAGGCTGGAACCGGCCCCAAACCAGTGTTCTTGGGGAGCAGGCCTACCCACCCCAAGGGGCTGACAGGGTCACCCTGAGGCATGGGCAGGTGTTTGGAGAAGGAGCTACAGTGAGTGGTCAGGTGAGCCCTGCGCAGCTGCAGGTACAGGCAGGCACCCCGCAGGGGCTGGACGTTCAGGGTACCTACTGTGTGCCGTGTTTGGAAACCTGCTCACTCCCTGCCGTGAACACCAACAGGAACGGGAACCCTCACTGGCATCGCCCACCTATGCACTGAGGACTGTCCCTCCCGCTCTTCAGTTCCCCCAACACAAGGCTTCTCTACATGTACAAACACAAGAAAACTAGGAAAGGTTATATTGTAAAACCAAAGAAAAGGGACTGATTTGCTTTTGGGGTTGTCTTCTTGGCCCACATTTGGACTGAGAAATTCTGTACTACACCTGAGTCGGTTCCTTCCATGCGGATTTGAGTCTCATACAATTCAGGTGCCTATAATCAAAGAGAGTGTTTGGAGCCCTGGAGGGCAGGCCCTGAAGGATTTCCAGCCAAGTGGGATTCCTCTTGGTCTTTCGGCCAAGCTGCCTGGCTGCAATGCTCTGCTGCCCTTTGCACCCTCTGGCTTCGCAGGGCTCCAGGAAGGGGACCCGGGCAGGAGCCAGGTTGGGGGCCAACACTCCCAGAACTGCGGGTGGTACAGTGGGGGACAGGTCAGGGGAAAGGTGCCCTGAGATGCAGGGAAGGCCTAGACTGGTTCTGCACCTTAGTGGACTTTGAGGCCCCCTCCCTTGATGATGGGGTTTCTGGAGCAGCTGGGCCCACACAGAGCTGCCCAGTCCCTGTCTTTCCTCTGAGCAGGGTGATGCTGGTCTTTCCCCATTCATCCTATCCCAGCAGCTGGATGGTGGAGTGGCCCCATGCCATATGCCAGGCGCCACGCTGGAAGCTGCAGAGCCTGGGCCACAGGCATGGCCACACCAGGGGCAGGGGCAGGAACCTGCTGCCCCTGGCCCTCCAGGCTCACTCCCCAGACCTTGCCACACTGATGGGTCTGGGCGGCTGGTTCACTCATGTGGTAAACACACATCTGTAGAGGTTGTACCCCTGCAGGCATAGAGATGGGTGGTGGGACCAATGGGGAGAAGACCAAGTTCTGCCCTATGTGGCTTCTGTCTCCTATAGGATGACCGGCAAAGGACCAACAGGCCTGCTAGTGAAGGAGCAGGGTCACTCCGGTCCTGGGGAGCCTCGTATGGCTGGGGGTCTGGCCTTGGGGTCAGCAGCGCCCCGAGATCAGAGCGATAAGGGTTCTGGCAGTGATGGTGCCCGTTGCCACTGGGGGAACTCAGAGACTCAGCTGGAGAAATGGGCGGGGGGGCTCAGAGGAGCAGGCCTTGACAGGGAGACCCGGGCAGGAGCTTACCAGCCTTGCCCTCACGGCCCCCACCTGCTCCATACTCCCTACTTCTTGGGAAGCAGAAGGAAACACCCAGTTGCAGCCAGACACAAAATGCCATTGCCAGGAGTGTGCTAAGATAGTGTTTTAAAACTTCAAATTTGAAAAAAAAAATTAGGTAAAAATTTAGAGAAATTCTTGGCTTAGTTTGTGTTCCATCAAAAGCAAACTCTAAGAGAAAGATTCGAGTGCAGAGGGTTTATTTGGTAGGTGATCCCAGGATGCACAGGTGTGGGGCAGAGGAAGAGAGGGAGAAAAGGCAGGCAGGACACCGGGGTGCATTGTGTAGCCTGTCACCTTTGGGCTCCTGGCCCTGCCCCTGGCAGAGAGTGGTAATGGGGTGGGAGCCCTGGGGTGCAGAGCCATCCCTTGGGACAGCCCTGAGAAGGATGTCAGATCTCAAAGGGGCCAGGGATGTCCACCTAAGCAAGGAGGTAGATTACATGCTGGATTGACCAAAAAGGAAATGCCTTAAGGGTTTCTCACTGTTAGAAATGGGAATTAAAAATACAGAAACGGGTAAATGAAATGTGGTGTTGGATTGGAATTAGAGATATCTGTAAACACACAAATCTCAGTATTTATAAACAGAACAACTATAGATGTGGATGTGTGTTGGTACAAACTTCCATATAACCCCTCGCTCTGTCCAGTGAGAGGCCCTGAGAGGAGTGACACCCCAAATGCAGTGAGCACACCAAGAACTCACATCTTGGCTTCTAAATTCCATCCTCCACTAAAAGGAACCAGAGTTCTTTGGAGAAATGGCTGGTCCCAGGGTTCAGGCACAGATTTCACAGGACACAACGAACATCTTGCTGTGGTGGGCAGTATGGAAGGGCTCCAGGATATCAGGGACATGTCAGAAGAACACAGAGCTGGCTTGGAGGAGCCCCCCCGCTGGAAAACTGCAGCTCATACGGTAGTTGTGGATTATAGCCATGGGACAAAATCGGAAACCACGAGGCGATGCATATTTAAATATGTATTTAAAAACATGTATTCATAAGCTGGGAGTTTGATGAGAAATGGGTCGTTTGCATAATTTGAAAATTCCTCCCCACAGGGTTCCCATTAATCCCAGAGGGAAGAAGAGTGAGTTCCCAGGGGGACACTGACAGCCACCACCATAGCCGAGTGGCCCAAGTGGACGCCTCGGTTACTGGACCAGTCGCAGTCCTGTACCGTTTGACAGGTGGCATGGTGGGTCACACATCACTTCTGTGAGTCTCCTGCCAAAGGGCCATGCCCTGCCTCTGAGCATGATGAAACCTCAGACACGCACATGGAGGGACTTTGGACGGGGTGGGCCCAGAGCCTTCGAAGGGAGCAGGGTCACAGCTGTCAGGGAAAGGCCAAGGAATGTTCTGGACCAATGGAGACCAAAGAGAACAGGATCACTCAGAGCAGCGTGTAGCCCTGGGCTGAATCTTATCACCACAAGGACATTACTGGGACAAGCAGAAAGCCTCAGGTGTGGTCTAGGGCCAGACGGCAGCTGCCTTGCCTGACCTGTGGCTGTGGTGACATCAGAGAATGTCTTGCTTTGGGGTGTGTTGGAGCAGTGTCTGCAATGAACTCTCAAATGCTTCTGGGGTTGGGGTTGGGGGCAGTTCCTACACTACTGTTGCAACTTTTCTATAAGCTTGATTCTGTTAGAAATTTATTTTTAAGAATGTTTATGGGGAGGATGCATGAATCCTCTGTTGAGGCCTGTTGAGCTTGAGCTGCCCAGCAGAGTGGGCTCCTGCCATGGGGCAGCGCCGGGAAAGGACTGAAAGCACACAGCAGGGCACCAAATGCATCTGCGGTGCCTGTAAACACAAAGGCAGGGAGCCAGACTCCTTCCTGGTGCAGCACAGAGAACAGAGACGTGCTCCTTAAATGTTCTTGGGAAGGAAGCCTCTCGGAGCAGGGAACGGCACCGTGTGACTCCTGGGTGAGCAGGTGGATACCGAGCAGCCTAAGTGAGGCTCGGGGCTGGGCTCACGCCCACTGAGGGCTGGGAAGTAAGGCCAGTGTGGGACAGAGTCAAGGTCACAGACCCTTCCAGGAACGGGGGCTGGAGCTGGTCATGACAAGGTGACCTAGAAGGGGCTGTCTGGTTCCTAAAGGGGACATAGAGACCCCACCCACTAACCTGCAGGTGGAGCCCAGACCAAGACAGGGGGACAGGGCACCAGGAAAATGCAGCACAGCGGAACAGAGGATGCGTCCCACTAGATCAGAGACTATGGGGAGCCTGCTGGGAAGTGTGAGAGGAGTCAGCTACAGGCGCAGAGAAAGCCCAGCAAGGGAAAAAGTAAAGCAAGGCAAATATTAACTCCAGGAAAAACAGAGAGAAAATCTAAACAGTGTTTGCTCCTTGGCTAAGCAGTGAACAGTATTTACATGGTTATAGTAGTATAAACAACTTGACCAAAAATGATGAAATAGCTCATTGGGGACAAAGGAGAACAGAGTGCAGACTGGGGGCCCCCCTGGCAACTTCTCACAGTGCCCCCAACTGGTACACAAAGAACAAGCAGCAATAGCACATAACTGAGAAACAGGGAGAAAAATCAGACAAGACGGATAACGGCACTGACAGCGGCTGCCGGGCCCCAGGCCCCGGGTCAGCAGCAGCCCTGCGAGTGCTTCAGACTCACTGAGTGTCCCGGCCTTTTGGGTTCTTTCGGTTCCCTTTATGTATGCAACTGTCTTTCTTTAGTAAGAATTAAAACACAACGCTAAACTAAAAATAAGTAACAGAAAACTGAACTCACAATCCCACCACAAAACACTGCAGTTTGGGACGTTAAAGAACACACTTTAAATAAGTCATTGATTAAAGATGGAATCAAGATGGCATCAGAAAATGTCCTAACGTGAATGACAAGACACTTGATTGCAGCTCAGTGCCAGGAGGCAGCCGCCGTGTCCCTGGGCTTTCAGACCTGCTCCTCTATCAGAAAACCAGGAGGTGTTTTAAAAACAGACATTTTTAACCTCTTCTTTGCGCTTCCCTGTGTCTTCTGGTTTCCAGACAAGCTGCTTTTGGGTTTGTCAGCCTGTCCTGCCCTCTCTCTGGACCCCTCGGGCCGGGGAGGACCGCCCTTCCCCGATGGGACCTTGATGCGGGGCAGGGGGTCAGCCCTGTGGCCCATCCCATGTGGCAGCTCCCTTGAGGTGGCAGGGCCCAGGAGTGTGTGGGGTCATACCAGCCTCCAGCACACCTCACGGGGCTCCACCAAGATGATGCCAGGGAATCTGGGCAGACTTGGCCACGGGCCACAGGAGTTGCCATTGGGAGTGAAAGGGTGAGCCCAGTACATGGCTGTAAGGCTGGTCAGGTGGTGGGCTGACCGCCTCACTGTGTGCCCCCAGGTCCTGCCTGTCTCCATCTGTGGGCAGCACCCCTGCAGGCCTGACTCCTGCCCACAAGCTGCCCTTGCCTTCCTGGAGGTGGGAGGAGCAAAAAGCAGGGGCCTTTCCTGTGCCTAGCAGAGCTGCCCAAATGCCTGCCCCTAGGCTCTGCCAGCCGGTCCCCTCCCACCCTAGCCTGGCCTCAGTGGCCGACAAAGCCTCATGGGACAACATTGATGTGGCCAAGCCAATCTCTTGGGACCAGGCAGGGCATCAGCCATCCTGGGAGCCAGAGGGTCCCATTTCTGGGCCTTCCTCAGCGTGGGAGGAGGCCTGCCCCAGGCCCCAGGTCAAGGGGAGGCAAGGCTGGCTCTGGAACCCCTTTTCCCAGGGGAGACGTCTGCAGGGTCCCTGCCGGGCCAGCATGGGGCACCATGGAGGTTGGGAAGCAAGCCCGAAGGAATGCTGGGGAAGGAGAGGGGACCAAGGCCTTGGCCGCAGGGGCTTCCAGCCCAGGGCCCTGGAGACATGTCTGCAGCCACTGAGCTTTCTGGTGGGGGCCCAGCCTGGAGGAGGGTTGAGAGGGCTCCCTGCCCTGCAGCCCCACCCCTGTGCACAGGACCCTGTCCCCCCAAAGCGTCCTATGCTGCTCTGGAATGTACAGTTTGCTGGCCACACCCTGCTGATCACAGGGTGGCTGCCTCATGGCCATGCTCTGCAGCCCTGAGCCAGCCAGGGCCCCAAGGCCAGAGCCATGGACCTGCACAAAGCATGATGGGTGGAGGGTGGGCAGCCATGCCAGGGGCCAGGTATCCCATCTGTCAGGGAGGCCCTGCCATGCCTGTGCCTGCAGACATTGCTGAGTGCCACCAGGTAGGCACAGAAGACTGGGGGGGTGAAGGACAGGTCCTTGCCATGTGAGGTTTTCCACCAGCACCTTCCAAAGACGGTCTTCTGGGGGCCGAGGTGCCACTCTGCCAGTGACAAAAGAAAAGCCTCGAGTGAAAGAACAAGGGGGTCCGGGCACCCTCTTGGCTGTGAGAGGGGGCACTAGCATCCCTTGCCGTAGCAGTGCACCAAGGAACTGCCCTGGCAGAGAGTGGTAACGGGGTGGGAGCCCAGGGGAGACCAGGCCACCATTGGTATGGACAGGGCTTTGACAGGTGGGCAGGGGCCACGGTGCTCTGAGGGCAGACCACAGTGATCCCGGGGGCTGGGGAGGGACCCCTATGCAGGCTCTGCCCTCCAGACACACCCACTTTGCCCCCAGCAGCCAGGGGAGGCCCATGTCCCCCCATCCCCTCACTCAGAGGGCGTCCCACCCTGGGGGCCCCACCCCGACACAGATGTCCCCTCTCTCCCGCATGTCTGGCCCTTCACACAGCACTAGGACAGGACTCCATCTCCACTCTCTGGGGCTCACAGCCCCTCCAGCCACCTCCCCCTTTCCACCTTCCCAGCCACACTTCCTGGGCTCCCCTCCTGCCCTGCTCTCTCCCCGACTCCCGTCACAGGCCTGGAGACTGCAGGCTGTAGGTGGTGAAGGACCAAATCCTGGCACACAGGTCTGATGCCATGAGGCACATTGGGCCAAGCTCAGCCATAGGATCCGCGGCTGCCCGCACGGCTGAGCACACTGCCCTGATGACCCCAGGCCCCATGCAGACCCCTCCACCCCTTCCCCTCTCTGGGCCTGACGTCACTGCTCCAAGACGGAGGCTGGCTGGGCTGGCCCTGGGCTTTGGGCCTGTAGAGGAGGACGTAGGGGAATGATGCCCACCCAACAGGAGAGGCAGGGACACACAGCAGGGACAGGAGCAAGGGGAGGCCATCCACAGAGCAGAGCCCGCCCTGGGCGTCCCATGGGCCTGAGCACGGAGGGGCAGAGGGCAGCTGCCCGCACCTCCAAGCTGCTCTCCAGAGGGTCAGGTGACTTGCAGGGGTCCTGCCAGTGCCTAGCTGGCGAGGGGAACTGCGTCTATGGCCTCTACCCCAGGCCTGGTCACCAGCCCAGCCCTGCTCCCTCCCCGGCCCCGCTTCTCCCTCCACTCCCCCATCCCCGGACCCAGGCCTTTGCCCCCCCAGCCTGCACCCCAGGGCCGGCCCTGCGGCCCCTCCTGCTGCACAGGCCTTCGGGCCCCCCTCTCCTAGAGGCAGGGCTGCCGGCTCCTCGTAAATCGGAGCCACACTCGGCTCCCTGAGCTGGCGCCCTCCCGCCCTCCTGCCGTCATTCCTGGCAGGCCCCGGGAGAGTGAGCTCACTCATTACATAAGGCATGTGAGCTATTTCTCGGGAACGGGAGCCTGCACCGGGCTCCATTTGCCGTCTCCCTCTGCAGTCGCCAACCGCCGCTAAACAGAGAGCATGCTCCCAGGGCCCCTGTCCGTCCGCCCTGTGCAGGGGAGGCGCTGTCCCTGCCCAGGGCCCCAGCACCCCCGCGGCAGGGCTTCTGCTTAAGAGAAGAGATGGCTGCTCCCTCCAGATACCCCAGGGAGTTGGCACCCTAGGGGACAGGGGGCAGCGGCCGGCCCCACCCCAGCCTCAGGTGCCAGGAGGGAGGCAGGCAGCAGGGGCCTCCCCAGAGCAGTGCTGGCTGCTTCCCTGAGGGTCAGTCCTCTCTGTGGATTGGGAGTCGCCCCCATGGGCACCCAACACAGTGCTCTTAGCGCCTCTGAGCTCCCCTGGGCCCCAAGCCCCATGACACTGCCGCCAGGACTTGTGTTCTCGGGGGACAACGCCAGATCTCACTCTAGTCAGCTGGGAGGAACCCAGTGGAGGGCCACCCAGCCAGAGATGGCCCGGAAGGACAGCACTGTGCTCAGGGCTGGGCACCAGCTGAGGGGGCCCCTCACAGAACTTATCTGTACGCAGCCACGGCCGGAGGGGGAACCGGGGACCTCACCCCTCAGCCTCCTTTCTGTGGCCTGGCACTGAGGGCAACCCGTGAGTTCCCAGCAGACCCCAGAGGCTGCAGCCAAAGGGACGTCCAGACAGTGTGTGCTGGGCATGCTCAGGGTCAGGGGTGGAGGTGCAAGCGCTGCCTGGCCCTGGAGAGGAGCTAGAGGGGTCACCTCCCGGCCTCTGGCCGGGGTGGGAGAAGCTGGGGGCAGACACCCCAAGCTTTTCTGCGGAGCAGGCCGACGGGGCTCCTGAACCAGGGCAGGAGAAGGCGGTGACGGTGCAGGCTGGGGCCTGGCGGGGCCTGTGGCCTCCCCGCTCCGCTGCGGAAGGAAGCGTCGGCCTCGGCGCTGGCAGCCTCCCTGCCCAGCTCCCAGGCCCCCGCCTGAGAAGCCCGCGTGCAGGCGCCTTCCAGACGCTTCTGCTGAGCCGGTCACGCTCGCCACGCCCGGCCTGGGGACAAGGCTCCCAGGCCGCAGGGCACCGGCTGCATGCCAGCGTGTGGGGCCCCTCCTCCGGACCCCCGGCCCGGCCTCTGTGCCCCCCCTCCCCCCAAGAAACAAGACCATGTTTTCCTTTCTTTTCAGAGGCTGGTGTTCTGGGAACTTACACCCTCTTGGGTTTGCTATTTTTACCCGCCCTGAGCCTTCCGGTCTCCATGGCGACGCCTCCAAACAGCAGATTCCAGGCGGCAATGACGTCACCGTCCCCTTTCCTGCCGCCCAGGCCTCGAGGCACTGCTGCAGGCCCGGGGCTGCAGGGCTGTGCTGACCCCGCTCAGGCCTCCCCAGCACCCCCAAAGCTGTGGCCCCAGGTCTGCAGGCCACAGGTGGGCCCTCGCCCCTCAGAGGGGCCTGCCTGCCCGCTCCGGGATCCCCTCCATGCCGACCACCCTGCCGGAGCTGCCACTGACTGGGGAGACAGGGGCAGCTGTCCACCTGGCCTGGGAAGCCTCTGTGGCCCCTGAATGAGACACTGGTGACCGTGGCAGGGCCCACAGAGGCAGCCGGAGCACCGGGAGGGCCTGTGGCCTGGTCTGCCAACCGCAGCACCGTGAGCATCGGCACCCTCTGGTGAGGCTGTCAGACACCCAGCCAGGGGCTGCTGCCCTCCTTCATGGTGGCGGCCCTGCTGGGGGCACCTGTGGGCATGTGCTCCGTGCCTTGGTCCTGACCGGCAGCTGCAGGGGTTGGGGGGGCACGGCCCCGCCTCTTGAGCTGGGTCTCCTGCAGCGGGTCCTCTGGCTCTGGCCTGGCCACTTAACCCAGCTGTCCCTGCAATGCCCGCAGCCCAGACCGAGGACGGGATGCTCAGGGCTGGATGGCCACCTCTGAGCCTGCAGGTGTGGGAGGATGGGCCACTGTGACCCCATGTCCCCTCCTGGAGGAACAGCCGCCCAAGTGCTGGGTCTGCTGTGGACTCAAGACACTTGCCGGCCTCTGTCCTCCCCCAGCCAAAAAACAAGACCGTGTTTTCCTTTCTTTTCAGAGGTCTTGTTTCTTGGTGGGTGGGGGGGCCAGAGCCCCACACCCCAGCCATTGTCAGGAGGGGCCCGAGGAGCCAGACCACCCAGACCCTGGGCTTGCAGAGGCCTGCCCACTGTGC